ATTTCATAATACTATTTGTATTTTTTTATAACATTATAATTGATATATAAATAATGCGCATTATCACATAAACAAATTTTTTATACGAACATTAAAACTATTATATATATAACTAATTATAACTATTTTACAACTAACTAAAAACAAATTAATATTAACATTGAGCTAACTACTAAATAGTTTCTGTCATGTAATGATCTAAAATACAAATATAAACTTTTACTAACAATTTGTAGCAAAATTAAATTTGTACTACTTGCCTGATGATTGTGGTAACACATGAAACTCAGAATGTATATATATGAGGGTTTGGCATGGGACAGCAATCTTTTCTTTTATTATTCTTCATTTGTTTTTTCTATTTTTGAAAAATTTTTTAAATCTCTATCATTTTTACATTAGGACACAAAAGTTATATATTTTGAAATTTGGTTCTTTTATATGGATTGAGCATTATATATATATATATATATATATATATATATATATATATATATATATATATATATATATATATATATATATATATATATATATATATATATACATATATATATATATATATATATATATATATATATATATATATATATATATATATATATATATATATATATATATATATATATATATATATATATATATATACATATATATATGTATGTATGTATGTATATATATATATATATGTGTATATATATATATATAAATATATATATATATATATATATATATATATATATATATTACCACACATGTATATGTTCTGGATAAAGTTTTTTTCTTTTTTATTTAAGATGACTACTTATACTTGCGCCACTCTTTTAAAGTTAAACATTTTTACATTTTTTGAGTTTTTATGGGCATTTTTAAACAATCAGCACAAATAGAAATTTACAAATCATTAACTATATAAAAACGTCATTACAAGTAATGAAAGGTCTTTTATCTATACCGATTGTGTTCATTTTTATTACTATTATTTTTGTTAACTTATGGTATTTTCAAAAAGCACAAATTCGTTATGAAACTTGAAAAACGTGGTTTTTAAACACAATAGTATTGAGGCCCAATACACAGCAATTTGAAATTTGTTAGATACTTTTGATCTCATACAGTTCAACCACTTCAAGCCCTGGCTATTTGAAAGGGGTTTGTTCAAGATTAGCTAAGTTTCCTGGCTGACTATTATTTTTGTTAACCTCCTACCATCATGTCAGAGAGCTTTATATAGCCGCAGCCGTAAATAAAACTGTTAAGCTGGAAAATAAACTATTTATATCATGAAACCATAAAAGGTAAAAAAATAGTAAGGTAATGATAAATTTGCTTCACTTTAATCTTTTAATAAAAATAAAATGATTATGTTTCTAATTTTATAATTATTTACATTTAGACCTTTGAGAAGTCAGAGATTATTATGTACTAGTAGAAAAAAATCAGACCATTAGGTGAAAATTAACAAATATGGAGCTGTTTTACTCGCCTTGAATTTCAAAGAATTCAAGTTTCATTTCTCTCAAATCAGGCAGGTTTTTATTCTGAATAATAAAATACTCAAAGATATCAATATAATGGCTGACTCAATTTCTCCCCCAGGGAATTGCGGTTTTTGACCTTTGACTTTTTTGATTTTGCAATTCTTAAAGTAAAACTTAATTTCATAAGTTTTGATATTTTAGTCTTATTATTTAAGAATAGTTTGTATCATAAAGTAAAAAATTGTTTAAAAACAATGGTTTACAAAATGGTTTAAAATCGGATGTAAATTGCAAAGAAAATAACTCTAGACCAATTTTTTTTTCTAATGTCAAAAATAATTGTAATAAGTATTTAGCAATGTTGTTTTAAATCTTTTTTTATCTTCATTGCATTATTTTTAATTTACACTTTTAAGATTAACAAGACTATTGGCAGATGTATATTGAATCTGCTGCAGACGTAAAATTCAAATCATAGTAAAACCTTAGAGATGTTTGGTGCTAGTGTTAGCACCAAACACCTCTAAACAAGAAACAAAGGGAGGTCTGAAAAGGTATAAAAATGAATAGAATCACAGCTGAATTCTTTCTGGTCTTTATTAACAAAAAGCAGTTTTTGTTAATAAAGACCAGCCACTAGGTCTTGAGTTGTTTATTTGACCACACTACTGGGTAATTTTTTGATATTTTAAGTCATAGTTTGAAAAAATGTCTACGGATGAGACTCCCTCCGACTTTTTGGGTACAATGAATTACATAACTTTTTAAATTTTTCAAATTTGCTAGCAACCCATCAGAATTCACAGCAAAATTGTAAATCTATTAGGCATAGCTTAAGAAACTTATTTTTCAAAGCAAGAAATATATTTCTTGTTTTTAAAAATAAATTGCAGGGTAGGCTATTTATTTCTTAAAACAAGAAACATATTTCTTGTTTTAAGAAAAATATTTTGCAATAAAAAATGCAATTTTACTGTACAGTAAAATTTATTCAAGATGATGTAGAGCGTGTGATGAGTTTGAAAAAATTTCAGAAGCTACTTCAAATAAAGAGTTCTTGTAAAAAACCATTAAAAAAAGAAGAGTGGATTTAAGGAGCTAGCTACAACGACTGATGATTTGTATTAAAATTTATATGTATATAAATATTTATTGCACATTTGCAGTGTTTAGGCGCTGAATTCTAAAAGAAATTTGCTTCATAAACAAGAGATCTGTGGCAGTGATGGATCCAGCATTTTTTGGTGTGTGAGATAGCTAACATGGAGCAAAATCCAAACATTTGTATATTTTATAGTTATGTCAAATAATGATGCTTTTTAAAAGGTTGCAATGATTGGAGGCTGGGAACAAAAAAACCTAAAATTTTATCCTCCCTGCCCCAAACGTGAAAGCAACAAGTTGATGAAATAATTTTTTTTCTATTATTAACTAAATTTATATTTATCGATAAGTTTTAAGTATTGTTTTACAATCTCTAAGCGTTCAAAAATTATGGCTATATAAATTTTTAACTTTATATAGTTACTATTTATGAATTCTGAGAGATATTATTATGAAACTTGAAGTTTATCAATGAATATAAACAAAGTTAAGAAGTTCAAAAGTATTATTTTACAAACTTGTTGTTCTATTTTGCAATATTTTGCAAAGCATCATTATTTGACATAAGTATAAACATAAAAATGTTTTGAGTTTGCGCTATATGTCTGTTAGCTATCTCAAACACCAAAAAGTGCTGGATCCTTCACTGATCTGTAGTTCAATCCCTACTCTAAGCTTATTTTTGACATAAAGGAAGCGTAAAGTTCCAAGTTCTGCGGTGCTCTGTGATGCGACCATTAGGTATTCTTGGAGCACCTAAATTAACCACAGAAAAAATTTATATATATTTTAAATCACATATGTTTTGATCTAGTTTTGTTTACAACAAAAGATCCAAAGTCCTTTATCCAATCTTTCAAAGAAACCATTTTGGATTTGGATTTGTTTGATCCAAGGCTCCAGTAACAGTATTTTGAAAAAAAAATAATATTTGATAAAAAAATGAGGCAAAAAACATAAAGTTTGTTGTATGACTGGAAAAAAACTTAAAGATCAACAAAAATCACTTTACAGTAACCAAAGTGTTAATTTATCTGTTGTAATCAGTGTAAGATAGGCACAACATATTTTTAAATTAATAAGCACAGTGTTTTTTGGTACAGGAGCACATAAAGAAAACATCGTTGAACAAATTAACTGGATTTTACATCAGAATCTATTCATGCCAATGCTTAGAAATTGCCCTAAATTTAGTCAAAAATCATAAAAAGTGTAACTTTGAACAATCAGTGCAAATACTTCTATTAAGTAAAAATAAAAAAGTAAAGTAATTTTTATATAAATATGACCTCTATGCCACTCATTAGCCACTCCGCATAAAAATTGGTCGTCAAAAAAAAAAAAAAGGGATTGGCTTATATATATATATATATATATATATATATATATATATATATATATATATATATATATATATATATATATATATATATATATATATATATATATATATATATATATATATATATGTATTTATAAATATTTATCAATATTTAAATATTTATATATATATATATAAATATATATATATATATATATATATATATGTATATATACATATATATATATATTGCCAAGAAATTACTACATTCGAATAGTTCTAAAACTAATAACACAATACCAGAAGCAAAATGCGATATAATAAGTCAATATTTCATACGCAAACTCGAAATTATAAAGAACACTATCCAGGAAAGGCTTGCAAAAACTCCAATATCTAAATTTATCTCAGAGTTATCTCCCCCTGTAGATATTTTAACCACATTTGGTACAGTCACACCTAAAGATGTGTCAAAAATAATCAAAACTCTCAAATCTAAGACATCGCCACTTGATATTATTCCAACAAACATCCTTAAATCTTGTTCAGAAATATTCAGTCCAATTATAGCTCACCTTGCTGACCTCTCATTCAAATCCGGAATTTTTCCAACCTCATATAAAGTTGCTCAAATAACGCCAATTCCCAAAAAATCAGGACTAGCAGAATTTGACCTAACAAATCTACGCCCCATATCAAATCTCAATACAATTTCGAAAATTCTTGAAAAGCTTGCTTTATCTCGTCTTCGTCCACATGTAACATCATCTGTCAACTTCAATCCTCTACAATCTGGTTTTAGATCTTATCACTCAACCGAAACAGCACTCTTAAAGATATGCAATGACATCCTGCTAAACATTGATGATGGTTTGACCACTATTCTCCTATCTCTGGACATATCTTCAGCATTTGATACAATTGATCACAGCCTGCTGATTATCCGTATTAAGAATGATTTTGGTGTCACAGATATTGCATTAAAATGGCTAACATCATACTTGCACTCTCGAAAATCTTTTGTTTCTATTGGATCATCAAATTCTAGACTAATAGCAAGTTCAACAGGAGTACCACAGGGTAGTGTATTAGGCCCATTTCTATTTTCCATTTTTGTTTCACCTATATATCGTATTATAGCTAAATTTGGTACAAATCATCATCAATATGCTGATGATACCCAACTTTATACTTTCCTCAGCCCTGGCAAAGATAGCATCAGCAAAATCACTGAGTGTGCTAATGCAGTTACAACATGGTTTCTAGAAAATGGACTTCTGCTTAATCCAAATAAAACAGAAGCTATCTTATTTGGATCTAGAAAACAAACTAGCAAATATAAAAATGATTTGAATATTGCGTTTTTTGGAACCACAATAACTACAATAAATTCAGTAAAAATCCTTGGAGTCATCCTAGATTCAAAGCTCTCTATGGACAACCACATAAACAATATTATTAAATCCTGCAATTACCACATTCGTGCACTTCGCCACATTCGTCCATGTCTGACCAAAGAAGCTGCAAACATAATTGCTTGTGGCATCGTTAACTCTCAGCTTGACTATTGTAACAGCATTTTATCTGGCACTTATCAAAAAAATATTAAAAAACTCCAACGAATTCAAAATAACTTATCTCGTATTGTTTTCCATTCTCCTTTCCATTTAAAATCAGAAATATTGCTGAAATCTCTTCATTGGTTACCAATACATCAAAGAATAATCTATAAAATATCAGTTATCACATATAAAATTTTATTATCAAAATCTCCTGCATATTTATTTGAACTCCTAGAAGTTCGAACTTCAAAACAAAATACAAGATCATTAGACAGTTGCCAACTTACACGTCGTCAACAAAAAACCTCCTTAGGCTCAAAATCTTTTTGTATGGCTGCACCTCGAATTTCGAATGGTTTATCTTTGAACACGTGAAACTCAACTTCTATAGAAACATTCAAAAAAAGACTAAAATATGAACTTTTTATGAACTCTTTTTCAGACTCATAGTTTACTTGTTTAGTGCTTCTGAATTACTTCATCACTATTGTGATTGTTGTAAATAATGGCACTTTAATCTCTAATTATTATTATTATTATTATTATTATTATTATTATATATATATATATATATATATATTATATATATATATATATATATATATATATATATGTATATATATATATATATATATATATATATATATATATATATATATATATATATATATATATATATATATATATATATATGTATATGTATATATATATATATATATATATATATATGGGAAAAGTCCTGGAAAAAAACTTCTTTTAGCAATAAATCCTGGAAATCCTTGAATTTTTTTGTGTAATATTTTAATATTTCATTATAATGTTTTTACCTTATACAGAAATATTATTAATATTGCGTAGATTTTTACTGAATTTATATTTAAATATGTTTTCCTGAATTTTGGAATGCTTTTAGCAAATTAATTGGCTGTGTTCTATCAGTAGTTTTCCTAATTTAAAAAAAAAAAAAACTATAAATCTGGTTACCAAAGCAGAAATAATATGGAGCTTGAATGTAGTAATGTCACATTTTTCTTTAAGATCGTGTTTAAATTTAAATGAAATATTCAAATTTTCTGATTATTCTCTGATAGCACAATAGCATCAAAGTTTGCATTTCGTTTACCAAAGATGGAAGTAGAGAAATCAAATAACCATCTAGAAGTAGATCATTTTGACATAGAAACAGCACTGAAATGTTAAGTCTCTTCTTTGCTAACCAGAAGAGAAATTAGAATTTAAGATAGAATGTAGCAGAGTTTTAAGAAAAATATTTTGCAAAAAAAATGATAAAAAATTAAAGGTTTTTGCTGAGATGCTTTAAGATGCTGATAAATATATATGGAACTAGTTAATGGCAAGTTGTGTTTCTGCATATGAAAAGGAACCAATCTAGTTTTAAATAGTTGGAAAACCTGCCTGACACAACAAACTCAGTTTCAAGCTAAAAGTTAATTTAAATATAAAATTTGTTATACTAATGAAATGTTTTTTATATTTTATTATATCTTTTAAACTTAATCATATTTTCAAAATTATTTTTACAATAATGAAGTGGAATCTAATGTTATTCTTCTTTCAGGTAGTAAATACTTTTTAATTTACCCAACTAATTTTGTTATATTAATTGTTATTGTTGTTATAATTATAATTGTTAAACTAGTTATTTAAACATGTTTCTCTTTGTTGGGTAGTAATCTTCTAGAGTTACATTTTCTTTTGTTGACCCCAAATAAAAAAATATTAAAATATCTTAAGGATTCCAGTTTTTGTATTTTAATGTCTTTTAAACTTAATCATATTTTTCAAAATTGTTTTTTAAGATAATGAAGTGGAATCTATTGTTATTCTTCCTTCAGGTATTAATTGCTTTTAAATTTACCCAATTAATTTTGTTATGTTAAATGTTATTTTTTGTTATAATTATAATTGTTAAACTAATTATTTAAACATATTTCCCTTTTGTTGGGTAGTAATCTTCTATAGTTACATTTTCCTTTGTTGAACCCTTGATATCTTAAAAATTCTAGTTCAGCACAAGAGTGCCTCAATTTGCTTACTGCAGACAGGCAAAAAGTTTTTCCCAGTTAGTGTTTCAGGTTAACATTGTTAAAATACTTGAACTTTTTGAACTCTCTGGGTGCATTATTAAAATTCTTGCAAAGGTTTGATGTGAAAAACAAGGTTCATTTAATAGTAAAGATTTTATTCTAAACGCACCTATAAGTATGAAAACAATCAATATACTAATATTAAAAGTTATTATTCTTTTTTCCATATAAAAAAATAAACTTATTTAACATTAACTAAATTAATTGACTTATTGCAAAACTAACTATTGAATATTATATTGTCATCAAGCAAGAGTATGTATACAAAATTTGAAGAAAATCTATCATTGGAAAGTGACTCTAAAATTGATTGCAAGATTTGATCTTCACAGACAAACAAACAAACAGAAACGAGTTAATAAAAGCATTGGAAATAAGGCTGTTTCAATGTTAAACAGGAAAATTTAAATAATAAAAAAAAGCAATTCAAACTTCTTTGAAGAAATCTATCTTGTCAATTAAGTAGTTATTTATGTAAACATTTTTTGAACATTTATGTCTTATTAATTAAAAATTTGTTTATGTCTTGTTTCACTGCATCTGTATTTACCTATTCATAAAATTGCTTATTGTTAAAATCTGCTTTGAAAGTTTAATGAATGACTTTTAAAAAAACTGAATATAATCTATTTTACAAGCAAATTATAATATTTAAACACGTTTTTAATCAAATGTATGGTGCATGAAACAATTAATCTAAGACTTACTCTGATTAGAGCATAGGAACGACTCTAAAAAGTATCATCTGCCCAAGTGCAGTGAAAAATATCTTCAATATCTCTATAAACAACATAAACTAGCATTTTTTAAACACCTTTTTAAAAGACATTAACAAACATACTTTTTATTTTTACTATTTTATAATTAAATCTACTTTTTTATAATAAAATAAAAAACTACTAAAGTAAAAGTAGGTCCTATGAAATAACTTTAATAGCACTAATTATAATCACTGTTTTTTTTTTAATGCGTTAGTTTTAATGCGAATTTTTAATGCAATGTATTTTTTATGCAAATGTGACTTTTTATTGCATGTAAAAATAAACTATAAACCTTCAACAGAAAAATTAAAAAAATTTATATTAATATATTTATGTATATTTATTTCATAAAAACTCATTATAGTAATTATTCAGAAGTTTATCACTGTGTCACAAAATGACTTTTAGTTCAAACCTCTTTTCCCAAGAAAAATCTTTGGGGTATGATAGTATAACTATGTAGAAGTACATTAGAGTTGGTTTTAAATTTTTTCATCATTGTCAGTGAAAAAAAAATTTAATTTTTTTGTCTATTGACAAGATGAATAATCAAATAAATTTAAACATTTTTTACATAAAAATTGTATATTTTTGTCACATAAGTCACTAACAAAGATAAGCAACTTGTTTATTTAAGAGTTCCTAAGCCCTTTGTTAATTTTAAAATTCTGGGAAAAGGTCTTGCAACAAGAGAATCACCATGTGATTACATGATTTGTTATGCAGGACTATTTAAAACTTTATTTTTAAATTTATCATAATCTAAATAAAATCTCAAGTCAATAGTAAAAATTTTATTGATTCAATCAGCTTATTTATTTTATATCAAAACTATTGACTTTTTCATTTTTCGCTTTTTTCTGCTTTGTAAAATGAGCCCGTTAAAAACATAGGGCGTTCAGAAAATCATCTTCAAAAGATCATCTAATTTTGTTGGCTTCACAGTTTTCAAGTAATGGTAGGAATTTTGCAAATATATACAACGATTTCCTCCTTCTTCAAAAATTTCTATTTCAATACATATAATTTTTGATGAATTATTCGAAACATTCAATTTTCCCTTGTTGTTACATTTCTTATTTTTCAAAATTGCAAAATTGCAAAATTGCTTTTTTTTCAATGACAAGTTTACAGCGTTGTCCACAGAATCACTATCGGAAAAAACGCTGGTGAAAGGGAGAGGACTATACCCTTTCTGATTGAGCCGATCTTTCAGTCGAGTAATGGTATTTACAATGGCTAATTTGCTATGGTGCTCAAAAGATAGAGCTAGATCCAAATTCTTGTAACGTTGATGTCCCTTGTGCAAAAAATGTTGCTGGAAAAAGAGTACGTTGCTCATTGAATTGTTGCACCAACATAACTTTACAGCTAAATCGATTTCTCAAAGGTTATCTATCATGAAAATGTTGTATCGGCACACAGCAGAGTTGCATGATTTTGGCACAATGTTTCCACAGCCAGTTTTACTGGCGCAAAACATAAGTTAACAGCTAATATTGCATCGGACTCATTATTAGTTACCTCAACTTTGGACTCAAGGGCAAAAAGTGACTCGTGAATGCATTTTTTCAATTATACAAAACGTTCGAGTACTGTGTGCAAGCTAACCCAGCTAGTTTTGGATCCAAGTATTAGTGGAATATCTTTATCAAATTTTTCTAACATGCGTTTTTGAATTTTGATCATTTTTTGTCGGAGAACGGCGAAATAAAAATTTCACAACGGTGCGCACCTTTTTGATTAACGGCTGCAAATCATCAGTCAGTTCAATAGAGTCATTCTCTTCACTCATTACAATTTGAAACCCGCTGGAAAAGTCTTCATCATTATTGGTTATGTTTGTGTCATCAGTATTTCCTCGTCACTTTCTCTGTTATTGCATATTACTTTCAAGTTTTTTTTGCAGAAATTGACGATTTTTTTGTACAAAATATCTTGAATACCTAGTTGAATCCCATGCCTAATGCATAACTGTTGATCACAGTTACTTAAACGCCCCACTTTCTACATTACTGAAACTTTTCATATTTACGTTAGTGCAAAATTCAAACATGCGTTCTACATTAAAGCGAGTGACGTAATGATAATATTTTAAATTGGTGCTTCATTATTTAATGAAAACACGAAAGTAAATGGAATACTTAAAACTTCCAGTCACGATCAAACAATGCTTCCGGTAAGAAAAAGATAGCTAGATGACAAAAGACGTGTTTAAATCGTCTAAAACAAGTATTCTACGTATTTTATACGTCTTAAACGCTAGCTGTTTGCTGGCTAGTTGCTAGCTCATTTCCTACCGCACCTAGTGGGAAATGAGCTGGCAACTAGATATTAAGTATAAAGTACGTAGAATACTTGTTTTAGACAATTTAAACACGTCTTTTCTCATCTAGCTATCTTTTTCCTACCGGAAGCGTTGTTGAAAGTTTTAAGTATTTCATTTACTTTAGTGTTTCACGTAAAGAGGGCGATAGTACCTGCTATATCATAAGCCCTCTACATATATTTTTAATACCGGTATTGAGCCAAAATTTTAAATACCGGTATTTCGGTACTTAAAAATGTCCGGTAATACCGGTATTCCGGTACCGGTACTACAGGTATTGGAAGCACTAATTGAAATCAACTCTAATTGACCTTTTGTCAGATAACAATGTCATCATAGTTACGTATTGCATTTCGGGATTGCCTGGGAGCAAAGAAACTTATTAAATATTAATTCTATGCAAAAATCTAGCAATTATTACTTTATCCTAGATTATTATTCTTATTTATTTATTTGAATATGGTTTTTACTTCAGTTGTCAAAGTAGAAAGTAAATGATTTAAAAAGTTATTTATTACCAAGAGGTGTCCCGCTTGGTTAAGGGAGTGCATGTAAAGCACTTTTGATAGAAAAAGTAATTATGGCAGAAGCTTTAAACCTACAATTGTAACCTACTACTGATAACCATATCAATGAAGTAAATAACATTAGATGAAGGAAGTTAGTTGTTAATATTCTTCATCTTCCATTTCATGAGGAAAAAGTAACTGGAAAGTGGAAATCAATTTTTTTTTAATACGACATACTATGCTACTAATAAAACTGCAATGAAAGCATTTAGAAAAGAAAAAACACTTTTTACCTGTAATAACATTGTCACCTTTAATAACATTGTTGATAGTACTTGTTATTGTTGCATTAGAGCTACTGTTGTTCCGCGGACAAGAATATATGAAAATCCATATTTATTTTGGGGTATGTTTTCCATATTTATTTTGGGTATGTTCAGAGTATGGTTTTATTGAATGTTAGTAATATAGTAGGCTTAACAATATGTACAATATCAGTTGTAATATAGCTGGTCTTTAATTATTTTTTTTATTGTAAACATCTTTGCTTCCAACAAGGCTGCAAGCAACCACTAATTAGAGTTAGAGTTTTCTGTAAAGAGAAAAGATCAAGATTGTAGAGCAAGATAGCGATTGAAAGATGACTTAAAAGATTGCAAATTATATAAATCAGGAAAGCAAGATGAAGAAAGCAAATTCCAAAGAACTGATGTTTGAGGAAAAAAACTAGAGGAATAAGAGTTTTTAGAGCACTTAGGAACAGTCACAGAAAAGAGATGAGACTTAATTGAATGACAAGTAACACGAGAATGAATTTTAGTAGATGGCACAAAAGATGCTAGCTCTTTAGAGCATTACCCATTATAGAATTTGTAGAAAAGAAAAAGAGAAGCAACATTATGACGATGTGACAAAGGTTGAAGGTTGGCTGCAAGAGCAGCTACAACTATGTTTACAATGCATTTTTGCACTTTGTCTAAAAGAGAAAGGGAATCATTAGAAGATCTGCCCCAGATACGGCAACAGTATTCCATACAAGGTGGATTTAAGATTTATAGAGGTAGAATGTGGAGAGACTGAGCTCTGATTAGGATCAGAAACAAGACATAAGTCGAGTAGAGAAGGTAAATGATTTGGTTTGTCTGGATA